CAGACGCCACGACCGCGGGCCCTGCAAGGGGCCAAATGGGGGGGGTGGGGAGCAAGGCGTGGAAAGGGAAAGCCCCATCACGTACTAGAAGGGGGCGGTTCGTTCGTCCTTACCCGATAGGCGGTCGGACAGCGGAGAGTGAAGGCGAGATGTCGGACGGGTCAATGTTGTCAACTGCATCCGTCACTTCCGTTCCTAAGAGGACGAAGCGGAAGTCATTGCCTGTAGATGCTGAAACGGCTTCAAAGTTTATGGCTATTCCGACTTCGGAATCGGATACGGGAAAATCAGTCGCGGAGTCGACAGCGAAGACGAAGACTAATCTTCCTAATCCGGAGGAGTTAGTGTGTGAAATGCAGTCATGCGCCAACGCGCAACTTGGCGAGCGCGTAGAGCAGCATATACAACTTATTGAGGAGGTAGCGGATCGATCTCGCAATTTAAAAGGAACCTTTGCACACGGTCTTCGAGTGGCAGCTTTAAACCTTAAAGCTGCGTTAGGTGAACTTTCTCGGAGGTCTGACGCAGAGTCTAATATGGAAAGACTTGAACGTGAGAATGCGGAATTACGTTCCCAAATCTCCATTATGAGCTATAAATTAGATAAACTCACGGATGAAATTAACATTCTTCGCGTGAATCCTACAACAACTTCACGCCCTGAAACGACGGCCGACGTGTCCCAAAAGTGGTGCCCCGCAGCATTAGATTCCAGGGGCAGTGAAGACGGATTAATGGAACGAATCGGAGTTTTGATAGAGTCAAAGTTTGCTGCCTTTGAAGCTAATCTGTTCCCAGACAGGGCTATTCGGCCACTTCGGGGGGCGAACAAGAATTTTGTGGGTACTCAAAGGCAGGAAGCTGACACTCTTATCCTCCAAGAACAACGAACAGATTCAGCGGGATCGGATTTACCAAAACAATCGCGTAGAAGAAGAAAGAAAAGGCCTCCGCACCCTTCGGTAGCAGACCTTCCTCCAATCGCTTTACCACAAACGCAAGCAGTTCGGCATATGACGGAACCAACTTGGGTATCCATCACTAAGAAACCAAAACCTAAGACGCTGTCGGCTAATCCTGGGATAAGTGGATACCGAAAGAAGGGTTTACGAGTTCCAACTACAGCGGCCGTATCGATCACCATACCAGAGAACTCCACTGTCACCTACGCTAAAGTCATGGAGATAGCCAAAAATAAAATTAGCTTGGCCGACATTGGCATTGACACTCTTAGACAAAAAAGAGCTATGACTGGAGGTCTGTTACTAGAGATCATCGGTCCGGAATGCAACCAAAAAGCAGACAATTTAGCCGCAAAGCTGCGCGAGGCTCTCTCCCATCTTAACCTCAAAATTAGAAGACCGACGAAAACAGGAGACATTCGTCTCAGAGACCTCGACGACGCTGTAAATGCTCAGGAGGTCGCGGAAGCGGTAGCAAAAGTGGGTGGATGTTCCGCAGATGAGATTAAAGTCGGGGAAATCCATCGATCTCTATCTAGTATGGGATCCTGCTGGTTACGTTGCCCAATCAAGGTGGTCAGGAATTTGGTGGTTTCCGGGTTCGTGCGTGTGGGCTGGAGTTCTGTGCGAGTTGAAGCAATCGAGCCTAGGCCGTTGCATTGCTTCAGATGCTTAGAGAAAGGACATGTTGGCAGCAAATGCCCTAATCAAGTATTTCGGGGATCGCGTTGCTACGCTTGTGGAGAAGATGGACATAGGGCAAAGGAGTGTACGTCACCGACTCTCAAATGCCCGTTATGTTCAGATCTTGGTAAACCTTCGGACCATCGCTATGGTATGAGTTGTACCTCTCTTCAGGAAAAACGCGGCAGGACAGGAGGCAAATCCTTCGCTTATGCAGGCGTAACGGCCCCTACTTTCAGTGCGTCGATGCCAGACCCGGTCTCGGAAGTGGAGGCTATGGAAGCTTAAAATTCGAATTCTTAAAAGTTCTCCAGGGTAATCTGAACCACTGCCGCAACGCGCAGCAATTATTAATGCAGACCATTGCAGAGCAGCAGGTTGCCCTATCAGTACTGGCAGAGCCTTATACAGTGCCGGATCATCCGCAGTGGTTTGGGGATTTAACTTGTTCTGTAGCGATCCACTGGAGTGGGAGAGAGCGCGTCCCAATGTGTTCCCTCCTACATAAAGGAACAGGTTTGCTGGCGATTCGATGGGGCGCTCTGGCTATCGTGGGTTGTTATATATCTCCAAATAAGTCTCTCTCCGAATATAAAGCCTACTTGGATACGCTAGCTGCCTGCGTTCGGGATTGCCACCCACTACCTGTTATCGTCCTAGGTGACTTCAACGCTCATGCCAGAGCTTGGGGTAACCCTAGAGATAAGCCAAAGGGCAGAACATTACTGGACTGGTCGGCTGAACTAGACCTCCGATTATTAAACCAGGGATCTGTAAGCACATGTGTTCGTTGGCAGGGGGAGTCAATTGTTGACCTTACATGGGCGACACCTTCCGCAATGCGTCTTTTGTCAGGATGGCGGGTCGCTGAAGATGTGGTTACTCTATCAGACCATAGACACATTTTCTTTAACGTCTCAGTCCACCGTCCCGGTACAAATGCTGGTAATCGTGTTAATCCAAAGCCACGCTGGTGTCTGAAAAAGCTAGATCGGGACATGCTTGTCGCGGCCGCCAGCGTTGCTACTTGG